CATCCATGTTTAGTAAAGATATGGGGCGGTAATTTTTGCACATATCTGGAGGCTTATCAAGCTTTGGGATGGTAACCACAGTAGCTAACAACATCTCAGATGGGAGAGTCCCAGTGGCAGTAGCATCTTGATACACTTTCAATAAGTGGGGAGCTAATACCTCTGCATATTTCTTGTAATAGGAATTTGGCAGTCCATCTGCTCCTGACGATTTAACCACCGGTAACATTTTAATAGCATTTAACAGAGAGACATAGGTTGGAGCAACCCTCCGGCTTGTGTTGGGGCTTGTGTTGGGGTAATATGGGGTTAATAGTCGCCAAGTAGTTATCAATCTCCATGTTGCGATAGTGATGAGTATCACCTTTAGTTTTCAGGTTATATAATTTACAGTAGAAACTTGTTCTTGGCTAATATCTTTGGGATTTTTAATTTTTTTTTTAATTCTTTATTTTTTTGCAGTTCTGGTTATAACAGGCAAGTTTGTGGTGCCACAATAGCATCATCAGACACAAGTATTTTGACATCGTGGTACATAGGTATGACAGGTAATCACTGTGCACTATATTTTGTTTAACATAATATGGTAATAAGCAGGTTAAGCAACTTGTCTATTCCGAATGAGAGATTATAACATAGTAAAACATACGTTACGTAGTTATGCTGGGCCTGTTTGTCAGGAGTTTAGAAGTATGCTAGTGTATTTAAATAAAACAGGCATGTAGTAAGTAAGTACTATTGTCCTATAGCATGGTTTTAGCGTGCTTCGTGTTCATAGCAGGTGTGTGAGAGCTGGACACATGCATTTGGGTGCAGGAACAATGTTAGGTCTGTCAACCCTATGTGGCATTGGTGTGTGTAGTGTCATGTGTAATATTAAGCATATAAAACATTTTAAATGACACGTTTTAAATGCTGGGTGTTGGGTAACAGTAAGGTAAATACACATTTGGTACTGCTCTGCTGACCGGAGTGGTAGCAGGGATAGAGGTTACTGCAAACCTTCACCCTATGCCACTAGTGTGCTGGAGCAGGTACTCCATTCTTTGGCCCATCGTTTGGTCTCGCTTTGTGGCTGGTTTCGGCAGCGACCTGCGTTGGAGGTAAGTTTTTTCACCGTTCTTGTGTAGTAGTGGCTTGCTTACATGCAGTGTCCGAGGCTGTAGTGGAGCGGGGGGCTTGCAGTCTTCTGGACCCCGGATCTGCCAGGTAAGTTTGCATGGACGTGCTGTTTGGCTGTGCTTTTTGTTCCTGGCGGTGTTTCGTGTGGGTGTTTGGCTTTTCATGCTGGGGTGTAGTACGCCGCTTGGTCCGACGCCATTTTGAGGCCCGATTTGCAGTCAGGACTTGCAGGTTCCTTCTCCCTTGTTGAGGCAGTTTTTGGGGTAGATGGCTGCTTGGCAGTTGCAAGGCAGGTGGGTGCGTTCTGATTTTCAAGTAGCTTGTCTAGTCTGAGCTGGAGGTCGGGCAGTCGTCGTCCATAGTCAGGGGTGCTCTGAACCGCCATTTTGCAAAGGGCTATCCGTCTCTGCTTGTCACTGGTCAGACATGCCTCCAGAACCCGCAGCACAGCTGGTAGGTGCCGGAATTTCCCTCACCGACGGGGGAGGGGAGTAATCTGGCAGTGCTCTGATGGACCCTGTGGAGGTATAGGAGCCAGAGGGTAGAGGGATCAGCCGCCTCCCTCCCTCCCTCGTGTAATAGGCCTCCATCCTCCCGAGATCCAGAACCGCCGGGGGCAGAACAAAACTCTAGTGGGTTAACATGTGTGAGGGCTCGTATCAGTGGTGAAAGTGTTGCAATCTGTGGTTTTTCAATGAAAATCTTAGTTTGCCGATGGTTTAGGTAGTTTTCCCCAGGAGCTCGACCAAGATGCGTCAATCTGGCTCGGCAGTTAGGGTGGTATTGGCTTACGTGTTTACTTTGTTTGTCTTAAGTTTAATATATTGCTCTGGTAGTTCCCATATAGGAGAATATGACGTTCTGTGCCGTAAATTTTAAGGCGCTTTTTTAAAATAAAATGAGTAATAAGTGATGTAGAGTTGATAAATGAGTGCTCTCATGTTGTTTAGTTTATAGATGCAATAGTGTTAGGGGTATAGTGTTAGGGGTATACAGGTGTTTGTAATTTTCATTGGTGGTGTTAATTAAATTTGCTTGGTCCAATTTGGTGCATGCGCTATTACTTTTATCCTTTGAAAACAGTAAACAAAAAATGTTTAATGTTGCAATGATGTCACTAAATACTATGCCTGTCTTGGGCGAGCAATTATGATGGGCCTAATTTTATCGACCAAAAACACTAAAACAGTCCTACCTGCCAAGCGTCATGTATCTGATGGAGATGGTGCTGGAGGGAAACTCATAGGATGCAGCTATGAGAAAACACATACCCTATGCTAATCTCACAATTTCATCTTTCAAGTAAATCCATACCCATTAACAGCAGTGTCCAGTAAAGCAGGAAGTCTATGGACGGGGTAAAAGGGTGGGCCACTGATGCAATTCACATAACAAGAACTGCCAAAAGGGGCGAACATACCCAAAAAGGGGGCATATCTGTGTCCCCATGTCTCCCAGTCCCTTAGTGTCTGTGTCATCATGTCTCCCAGTGTCCCCATTTCACTAGGACACAAGGGGACATTGAGAGAAATTGGGACACTGGGAGACATGGGGACACTGAGATACTTGGGAACACTGGGAGACCTTGGGACACTGAGAAATATGGGGCACTGAGACACTGTGATACAAAAGGGACAATGTGACATATGGAGGACACTGGAGACTTGATAAAGACCTGGGTACAGGTCAAAACATTGCGGTGTCCAATAAACCTGCTTAAATCTATCACAGTGAGTGGATGATTTTTTTCTTTTATACTAGGGAACACAAACACTTGGGGGCACAGTAAGACATTGGAACTCTGGGAGACTAGGGGACTCTGAGACACCAATGACACTGAGAGACACCAGGTACACTGGGAGACATGGGGCACTGAGACACTGTGATACATAGGGAACACTGTGAGACATAGGGGACACTGGAGGCTTGATAAAGACCTGGGTACAGGTCGAAACGTTGCGGTGTCCAATAAACCTGCTTAAATCTATCACAGTGAGTGCCTGAGATTTTTTCTTTTATACTAGGGGACACTGATACACTGGGAGACATTGGGACACTGAGACACTGGGGGACAAGGGGACTTTGGGACACTAGCAAACACTGAAACACTAGGGACACTGGCACACTATAGACACTGGGAGACATGGGGACACTGGCTGGGAGAAATGGAGGAAACTGGGAGTGCCCCAGTCCCCATGTCCCCCAGTGTTTGTATCTTCATGTCTTCCAGTGTCCCTTAGAGTCTGTGTCCCCATGTCACTGGGGACACTGTGAGCCATGAGGACACTGAGAGACTAGGGGACATAGGGACTAGAGGACTCTGGGAGACTAGGGACACAGACACTAGGGACACTGAGAGACAACAAGGAGACATGGGGACACATAGACATGGGGACACTGAGACACTAGGTACACTGGATGGGAGACATGGGGACACTGAGACACTAGGTACACTGGATGAGAGACATGGGGACACTGAGAGACTAGGTACACTGGATGGGAGACATGGGGACACTGAGAGACTAGGGGCCATTGGAAGATATGGGGCCACTGTGTCCCTAGTGTCTCGTGTTCCCCAGTGTCCCAATGTCTCAGTGTCCCCATGTCTCACAGTTTCCCCTAGTGTCTCAGTGCTCCTAAGTGTCCCTATGTCTCCCAGTGTCCCCTAGTGTCTGTGTCCCCATGTCTCCCTGCAGCCTTTCTCCCCATCGCTCACTCACTACTGAGCTGTAGGCTGTCTCTGCAGGCTGGGAGCTGCTGTCTGGACTTTCTGTGCAGAGCTGCTCCCCCGTGGATCAGTGAGTACAAAGAGGCAGGGAGGGAGGTCCTGTAACTTCCTGTCCCTGCCTCTCTCCACACACAGCGCCACCTATTGGCTGGTGCCAGTATAGCATCTAATCTCAGTTTATACTGAGACTGATATTTGTATTGCTGGTATTACTGCAATACCGGCACCGGCTAGGCAGCCTCAAATACCTGAGAAATACTTCTGAGAAATACCTGGCAACCCTAAGAAATACCTGACAAATACCTGGCAACCCAAAGATTAGTGTGTGAAACCCCCCCCCAAAAAAAAACAAAAACCAATGGCCCTAATATGTTAATCTGGCCCTGGCTCCTCACACTCCTCCCATGCGGACTCTAGCAGTGGAGAGGGCAGGTACACGCTGCCACATGCCAGCTCAGCCCTCTTCACACAGCTCTAGCAACAACGAGTTTTCTTAGTACGACCTGAGAGCACTGCACACCCTGGTGGCTGGTGCCGATATTGCAGCACATTTTCTTCAACGAAAAATACCGGCAATTGTGTTGCCGGTATTTTTGCAATAGCGGCACCGGCCACAGTGCATCAAATACCGGCTATGCTGGTAAAATACCGGCCAGGTGGCAACCCCATCTTCCCGGCACACGTTAACCGGGAGGAGAAGAAAGAGAGCTCAGCTGGATTCCAAAGCTCTGAATTTTATTACAAGTATAGGACAAGCGGGGCAGTTATGTGCTGCCACTACACTCATCCTCAGTCTTCCTGCAACTAGCATATAGGAACTGCCGGTCAGCTGATGAGGGGGGGGGAGTCAAAATCACGTGACATACAGTGACAGTGTGACTTTATATGTTTGCTGATATCCAAACTGTATGGGGTCTCCATGTAAGCTCACACATACCCCCAATAACAGTGACTAACCGAAGATCAAACTACTGATTACGGATTTCATAGTCGTGTACACTACTATCTAACTTTCTGATTATTAACAGATGTTCTACGTTGAACTGGGTTTTGGCTAAAACGTATGTTTCCCATAAGAAAAATGGCTGCCGGCTGCGTTGTTGACGTCACCCGCACGGCGTCCAACATTGCGCCGCTTTATTCGCCTTCACTGCGCGTCTCGACGCAGGCCCCGCCCGCAGGGTGACGTGCAGTGTTATTACCTGGACTGTCATGGCCGCCCAGAAGATCAATGAAGCGCTTGAGCATCTTGCCAAGGCTGAGAAATGGTAATAAGCCGGGCAGCTCATATGATGTGCCCAGTGTTAGGGGTGTAATGATAACTATGGCCGGTCCCAGCGTTAGCCTGCCATTCCCAGAGACAGGGAGGCGGTATGCTGTCACTGCCAGTATGAGACAGCCTGTCATGCTCCATAGCTGCTATGATGGACCTTCTTATAGTCAAACTAAGCAGAGAAACCGCAGTTATATGTGAAGCTTCATCCTTTTATTATCAGACAGGAATTAAACCCTGTAAATCACAGATGATTGGGAGCTTCTCAGTGGAAAATTAAGTAGACCAGGCTTCTCCAAACTCCTGCCCTCCAGATGTTGCTGAACTACAGCTCCCATGATTCTCAGCCTATCTATTTCATTCATAGAATCATGGGAGTTGTAGTTCAGCAACATCTGGAGGGCTGGAGTTTGGGGAAGCCTGAAGTAGACTGTAAAGACTGGTGATGGTGTTAGAGGCTGGAATTCTATACATTCATCAACAGCAAGTAATACGAATGATGTGAGATGTGATACCAGGACTGGTTACATGTATGACTTTGATTTAAAAGTATTAGAGTAAGAACAATACAGCTGGGTACCCATTAGTAATTTTTGACTTGTCATTCTATTACCAGAACACAGCAGCTAATCAGAACAGCTTGTCACTATTCTGGTTTGTAAGTACGTTTTGCCTCTTTAACAATATCTCCCTTTCTCCTGTTTTTGTTTTTCAATCCATAGCCTGAAAACTGGTTTCTTGAAATGGAAACCTGACTATGACAGTGCTGCTTCAGAGTATGCAAAAGCAGGTATGTAATTATCAGACTTACTAAATTATTTTCCTTGATTAGAGAACGCTTAATGTGGTGTTTAGCATTATTTGAAATTCCTACATTTTTTGTTGAGAAAGTGATTGAGACATCTCGCTGCATAATGACTGATCTGTTATTGAATGGGATTAATTATCTTAAAGGACCACTCCAAGCACATAACCACTACAACTGATGAATCTTTATGTTTTCAGCCAATGAGTGTGCTCCAGCACAGCTAGATTTACCTCCATGCAGGAGCATTTGACTTTAGACAGGAGGGAAGTGACCGGTGCCCTCCGGTCCCAGCCAAGTTACCAAATCGTTGTTAAATAGTTTGACTGTACCGTGGGAGGGCACCCGGGCTTTCCAGGTACCATAAGCACTACTGCAGCTGTAGTGATCATGGTGCTGGGTTGTTCATCTAAAGCGAGCCTACAAATAGTTCACCATTTGTTAGGTGTACATTTTGTTTATAAAATCTCTAGCAGATGTATACACTGATATATACTTACTTGAAGTTCGCTCCTTCCTCTACCATTTCGGACTTTTAAAATGGACAGGACTGCAGCTGCTCCAACCATGCTGCCAGTAATAATGCAAAGCAGCATCCAGCAATTCCTAGCATGTTGGTGAATGCAAGAAGTTATGTGATGATACCGTGACAGTTTGGGGACTCGTATATGGAGGAAGTAAAATAAATAAATGTTAAATTATTATTTATAAAGTGCAACAAATTCTGCAGTGTTGTACAATGGGTGGACTAACGGACATGTATTTGTAACCAGATGAGTTGGACACACAGGAACAGAGGGATTGAGGGCTCTGCTCAATAAGCTTACATGCTAAAGGGAGTGGGGTGTAGTGACACAAAAGATGACGGGAAATACATCCCAATCCTCTAAAATACGTCAGCTTGCTGAACTGCGTTAGTGGTAATGTCCCTCTGCCTGCAGGCATATTATTTTATAACCGATATTAACTATTAGAAAACATCATAGTTACACCTCCAGGCTGTCAAGCGGACAGTCTGGAGGGTTTCTTGCCTCACTCATTTTTTACTGAAGTTCAGAGCAGGGGTGCTTCTTTATCTTTTATTTTTTTTTATTCTTTATTTTTGCAATGGCAGATTGCATGGTAAATTAACATTGTTAGTCTTGTGCAAAAGCCATATCATAGTACATATGTCGACAATGTATTACAGAAAGAAAAATAAAAAGTCGAAAGGTATTTTGTCAAGGCATTTCTTCATGTTGTGGGGATCGACTTGGTCGCAATCCGCCAGGGTTTAGTTTTTTTTATAGTTAAAGAAGAACAATAACAGAAAACAAATAACATTAGAACGTATTGTATTTAACATACTATGTAGGGCTGTGTTTGTAGCAGTGTTATTCAATTACTTTGGTAGTGTATTGTTGTAATAGGATGTGATATGCACGTGAGATGTGATCAGAATCCATTTGCATTGAGTAGTTAAAGAACCGTGTATAACAATGAAAGTAGTAACCATATAGTCAGCGTTACATGTCATAATGCCGTTTTATACTAAATGTCATGAATGAGAATTTAACTATTTTACTGCATTTAATAAATTTGTATTAAATGTATTTTTATTTAATGTATGTATAAATGTATTTCTAATAGTAATATGCTCTTTATATCCACGTTGCTTTGATTGTTCTGCAACCCATGAATCTATATATGTTGGTCTTTCTCCCTCCCTTCAGACTTTTTCAAAGTCATTAACTATTTACAATTACCGATCCACTGAACATCCCCGCCCCCCAAAAACAGTAAATGGAGTTATGGGTGAGTAGCACTGGGCAGCACACCCAATGGGTCCCGTCCTGCCACCCTCGGTCGAGAACCACGCCGTGTACTCCAAAGTTGATCTAATTCTATATTTGAAGGAGGTGTCCAGCATAGAAATATACAATTTTCACGTGAGGAAATTTATTTTACCAGAAGTTCCTTTTTGGTTAGGGTATAAAGCCAATCCATTTTAAAAAGGAATTTGAGTTTGGTTAAGAATAAAGTGGTGGAATACCCGGCTGGCTTCAAATCTGAAGAATGGTTTTGCGGCCAACTTCTGCTTTGATCATAGAGAAGCGTCTACTAGGCACGGGGTCACCATGAACAGTTCCCAATAATAGAAAACTGGGATTTAATGGTAAGGGGCTTCTTTTTTAAAGGGACACTATAGTAACCAGAACAGCTACAGCGGCCACTCCTCACATGGCTGTTAGAGATCCTTCCTGGGTCATGGCTGCCTAAAATGCATCCAAACATTCAGTGTCTCCTCCCTCTGCATGCAGACACTGAACTTTCCTCATAGAGATTCATTGATTCAATTCATCTCTATGAGGAAATGCTGATTGGCCAGGGCTGTGTTTGAATCATGATGGCTCTGCCCCCTGATCTGCCTCTTTGTCAGTCTCAGCCAATCCTATGGGGAACCATTGTGATTGGATAAGGCTACCACTTCTGATGATGTCAGCAGACTGCTTGTTTTTTGTTGTTTTTTTTTTTTGTTGAGGCAAACAGCATGCAGAGTTACAGCTTCTGGCTTGAATACAGTAAGATTTTTACTATATTTATGGAGGCATGAGGGGCCCAGGGGGGCTAGATGGTGGTGTTAACACTATAGGGTCAGGAATACATGTTTGTGTTCCTGACCCTATAGTGATCCTTTAATAGAGTTGTGGCGTATGCTGCACATGCATTGATTGTATCAATGCTTCTCAATGAAAACGCATTTGATCAGACATACGTCTTGAGTTTTGATGATTTAAAAGAAACACAGGCTTGGAGCTTCAACAAGAAGACTCTTAGGGCCCAAGAGTGAAGATGAATTTAATAGCTTTTTTTAAAAATATTTTAAAGCTGAATTAGAGGGCTTGGTAATATAAAACGTAGTAGCACATCCATTAAGGTTATTCCAGACAGAAGCTGTGTTTTAATAAAACCACTTTTGAGTGCAGAAAACCTCATTGGTATTTGCCCCACCCTCCCACCCCCCTCATCCACGACAAAACAAAGTTCTCTATGCAGCCAGAACCTTCTCTGTTGACTTAACCCCACCTTACTGAATTGGTCGTGGTGCTTAGAGTAACCCTCTAATCGCTTATAAAAAGCTGCTAAACTTTGATTTGCAGCATGTTAAAATCCAAGTGGTCAAAATGTCAAAATCATGAATGAATTTTTCTAACATCACAATATTCAAAGCTTCACTATTTTTGCCCAAGCATTGTCTTTCAAGTTTAACTTACTACAATTTGGTGTTCTGAAATATAGTTGTGCTAACTATGTCTATACTGTGTTTTGTTTTTTGTTTGTGTGTGTTTTTTATAGGAAATATTTAGTTTACTTAATGAAAGTGAAAAATATGTTTCCATTTGTTTTAGCTGTTGCCTTTAAGAATGCCAAACAGTACGATCAAGCAAAAGAAGCTTATTTGAAGGAGGCTGAATCATATGAAAATCACAAAGCGTATCCTTTTTTGACCTTCATCCTGGTAACCTAAGTTGCAACAATTACACAAGTGGTTTTAATAAAAATGGCATGACTAACTTCGAATTGGCAATTTTTTTTAAAATTAATTTATTTATATTTTTTTTACATTTTGACATTTTAGGGGTTAGTTACTGCATTCTGAATTCCAGGTGAAATGAAAATCCAAATTGTGAATTTTTAGAAAAAAAATGCTGATTTGAGGGGAACAAACTCTGCATATTTAGCCTAAATTTTGCAATTCAGTGTTCAGTTCAATGTTTATTGAATAAACTTGTATTTTTATTTTTTTTATATATATAATTGTGACAGTGCAAAAGACTCAATGCTCAGAATTATTCTAGTGTCATTGGTCTGAAGCCATATTCAGTGTCTTCAAATAAACTAATGCATGGAGCCATATATTCAAAATCCTCAACTGTACAACCTATAAATAACCAATTAATTATTTAAAATGGTCCCTGTTATTCCAATATAAATTCACTTTTCTTTGGGCATGTGTATTTTTTTTTTTTTCCTGTACTAAACTATTTTTAGCAAAGGACACCACACATACACCATCAAAACACAAAATATTAACCACTGCAGAGCAGTATTTTACAGTGTTTTGCTGGTGTATATGGTGCCCTGTATATAAGCTATGTGTATATGTTTAGATGATTTCCACTCACTACTTTTTTTTGTTTTGCACCATAACCACAACAGCCTGCACAGCAGGGCTTAACAGAGAACCTGTCAAACTGTTCATAAATGGTATGGCTACTTGCTGTGGGATATTTTAAATTGTTTAGTGGGTTGGCAAGTGGCAATGAACTTAATGTTGGTTTACCCTTAACCAAAATGCATTTATAGTCTTTTTCATGCTGCCAAGTAAGTATATCACTTATATTTACTCTGTGTACTATGTTGAGATATTTTGAGTCCTGTTTTTTTTTGTTTTGTTTTTTTGTCAAACTGCGTCAAAAGTGCTTGACACAATCCTGGGGGAGAGCTACCACAAGCACCACCTCTATCCTCATAATCCATCACTTTTCCCTCTCAAAGTATATCACTTTCTGTATTTTGTCTTTATATTGCATATTGATAAAACAGAGTGAACTTCATTTTCTTATTGTGATTTATTTTTTATTTTTTGTAACTTTCCTATATGAGGTGTCATTTTGGTTTAATATAATAATAAAAAAAAAAAGTATGACCTGATTTCCCACTTAAAGGGACACTATAGTCACCAGAACAACTACAGCTTAATGTAGTTGTTCTGGTGTGTATATTATGTCCCTGAAAGTATTTTAATGTAAACGCTACCTTTTCAGAGCATGGAGACGCTGAATTCAATGCATTTCTTTGAGAATAGGCTGTTTTGGTGCAGTGTTTTGTTGTGTTTCCTAAGGGAAAGCATTGGATTGGCTGAGATAGTCAATTCTGATGATCTCAACCAGGAAGGCAGAGTCCGCACTGGCAGACCAGCGTGGCGCTAGAATAAAGGTGTTTCTTTTTTTACTTTTTTAATGTTGTAGAACTACAACTCCCATGATGCTTTGACTGCCTTTAGAATGCCAAAGCATCATGGAAGATGTAGTTTTAAAACATCTGGGGATCTACCTATTGGGCACCCCTGCTTGAAAGGAGCACTCCAAGCATAATGACCACTAAAGCCTGCATTAGTAGTTGTGGTGTCAGGAGTGCCCTGGTACAGCCCAACAGTAAGTAGTCAAACCCTTTTACTATGGTTTGTGAATTTCCATTGGTCCTAATGAGTGACCACAGCTGCAGCCCCTGCTTCTGGTCTCCTGCAGGAGTATTCGGTTAGCTCTACAGTGTTTAGCAGTAGGGATCGATCATTTATTGTTTTTTCCAAAATTCAGATTTTTTTTTTTTGTAAGTATCAGTATCGGCCGATAATCACTGGCAATACCAATAATGATTGGGTGGGCCGGCGCATCCATAAGACGGCACAAGCGGCCGCCTTAGGGCACACCAGCCCAGGGGGCGCTACATCGGAGTGACCAGCAGGAGGTGGGCGCACAGAGTTCCCTCCTGCCAGGCACTGCGGTACAGGAACTTATGTTTCCTGTACCCGGCCGGAATGAAAGGTAGTGCTGACTGAGAAAGCACTCCTGTCAGTCCGGCTGGGTACAGGAGACTGAATCTCCTGTACTGCGGTGCACACTTCTCCGCTCGGCCATGCTACCAGGAGACACACCAGGGAGCGGGGACCAAGGAAGGGGAGAGAGAGGGGCACTAAGGGAGGGATGATCACTATTGAACTGGGGTGGTAGAACACTGTGGATAGGGGGTGGGTGTGGTAAGGAACACTATGGGGGAGGAGAAGTGGTAAGGAACACTATGGGGGAGGGGAGGAAAGAACACTGAGGGGAGAGAGGGACATTAAGGGAGGACACTAAGGTACAGGGGAGGGGAGGGAAAAGGAACACTGGGGTATGGGGGGGGGGCACTAAGAGACAAGTGCGGGGGAGAGTTCCTACCGCACATATTGAAACACAAACACACACACTGAATCCACTTCACAAACACTGCATTCACTAATCAAATCCTTTCACTGCATCCATTACACACACACACACACATAAATATTCTTGAAAACTAAAAAAAAAACACCTGACTGTCATGTATATTTTGTGCATTTACCACCGAATTAAAAAAAAAAAAAAAAAAAACGGTAAACATACAGAATATCAGTAAGCTATCTGCCTGAAAGTTCACAGATTATTGGTATTGGCTCTAAAAAATCAATATCGGTCGATCCCTATTTAGCAGGACCATGATAGATCGTGCGCATATATATCTGTCCTTCAGACATATTCACACTTTGGGTCCGACAGTCTTTGAATCCGACAGTAAGTCTCTATGGTCTATATGGTATATTATATTAAAAACAATAAGTATAGCTGCACTCACGGTTGGAGATGAAATCTTCAATGCTTTATTCAATTCATTAAAATAGGATTGACGTTTCAGTCCAGCTTGTGGACTTTCCTCAGGATCAAAACATCCTGTGGAAAGTCCACAAGCTGGACTGAAACGTCGATCCTATTTTATTGAGTTGAATAAAGCATTGATGATTTTATCTCCAACACTGAGTGCAGCTATACTTATTGTTTTTTGGATATTTGAACACTGACTGGCACCAGACAAAAAAATTGTGTTCCTATGTAGCTTGAGTGCAAGGACTCTTACTGTTTTTTGGTATATTATATTAAATATATTTTTGGTAATATTTATGTTACTGTTGTCTTGTTTCACACTGTATATTTTCCTTTCTTTACAGGGCTTACGAGCAAGCTGGGATGATGCTAAAGGTGAGTTTTAATAAGTTGTTACATCTTAACCATCAAAGCAGACAGAGAATTTTAGCAGAATATACACATTAAATGTTTGACCCAGTTTACATGTGCAACATCACTGTCTGTTTTGACATGTGCTTCTGCATTAAAGCTTCTTAAGATGTGCAGTTACATTTTAGAAGGTAAGACCACGAAGGGACATATGAGACAATCATAGAGTGCAGTAATGCACAATCTTAGCATATATCTCAAAATACATTTTATAAAGAAATCATGTATAATATATTATAAAATGCTTTAATTATAATCTATTATACATGTATAGGAAATAAGTGTGTGTGTGTGTGTGTATATATATATATATATATATATATATATATATATATATATATATATATATATATATTTGTATGTGTGTATATATATATATATTTATAAATTGAAGGGAAATTTTTTTTATAAAAAAACAAATAACGCTAACTTTGCCGAGTTTTTGTGGTTACAACAAAAGACTGGAAATACCCCATTTTGAATACCCTGCGTTGTCTACATTTGAAAATGGTATGCCATGATGGGGTTATTTCACATTTCTGGGCTACCATACGGTCTCAAAAGACAACACAGACCCAGCAAACTGAATTGGACAAGCCCTATATTTACCCTGTACCTTTTTAAAACACCTAAAACCTGTACATGGGTGGTATTGTTATACTCGGGAGACTTCGCTGAACACAAATATGAGTGTTTACAACAGAAAAACTTATCACGATGATGACATAACTAGTAAAAGTGCAGTTTTTGTGTAGTGATAAAAAAAAAATGCTAACAGGACCTACCCCATTTTGAATACTGTGTGCTGTCTACGTTTACAAATGGTATGCCATGATGGGGTTAATTTTCATTCCTGGGCTGCTATATGGTCTCAAAGGCAACATACGCACAGCAAACCAATCTGGCAAATTTCAATGTGCAAACATGGAAAAGGGGAAAGCCCTACATTTGACCCCTGTAAGTTTGCAAAAAAAACATAAAACCTGTACATTGGGGCACTGTTGTACTCAGGTGTTGCTGAACACATATTTGTGTTTTCTTTGTCAGTAACACATAACAGGAACTGAGAATCCATGCCTAAAGAACAATGTGAGAAAAATAACACAAAAGAATTACTATCCAAAAGTTTGACAAAGACTTGTGGTAGAATTACTGCATGAAAAGTGTTAAAATACCACCATTTGAAATACCCTAGGTTGTCTACTTTTCAAAAATATATATTTTGATGGGGGTAAATTACATTGGCCGGCTTCAAAAATGTCCAAAATAGGACATGGGTGCATGATGAATAGCTGAGAAAATTCCAGTTTGGAAAACTGGAATGTGCAGGCTCCAAATAAGGTTGTCTAGCCCCCAGAGAACCCAACACACCTATACATGGGTGGTATCACTGTACTCAGGAGATGTTGCTGAGCACATATTGGGGTGTTCTTTGGCAGTACCCGCCATTATCTTTTGCGGCCCTGGCCCGCGTGGCAAACCGCCGGGGCCACATGCTATGGGGTCCATCGGGTGGCCCATGCTGTCAAGGCCACCCGATGGAGATGGATTGTAAGGGGGCCCGGTCAGCGCTGGGCGCTTTAACAGCGCGACCGGGCCCCCTGTGATTACATGAAACGCTGGGAGGAAGTGACTTCCCGGTCACTGCTCCCAGCTATCAGCCCACTCGGGAGGAAGGAGGAGGGAGTCAGAGTGGGAACTCTGACTCCCATCAGGCTGAGCCCCCACTGGACACCAGGGAAAGTAACAAAAGGTATGAATCATTTTGTGTGTGTGTGTGTGTGTGTGTATATATATATATATATATATATATATATATATATATGTGTGTGTGTGTGTGTGTGTGTGTGTGTGTGTGTGTGTGTGTGTGTATATATGTGTGTGTGTGTGTGTGTATATATGTGTGTGTGTGTATATATGTATATATATATATATAAGTGTGTGTGTGTGTGTGTGTATGTATGTGTCGAGGGGGGCCACGGTCATGGGGGAGGGGGAGGAGGGGCCCATGGATCAGTTTTGCACCGGGGCCCATGTATTGTGTGTACACCACTGTTCTAAACTCAGGACAAAATTTAGAAACCATTTAGCACGGGTGTTTGTTGGTGGTTGTAGATGCGTAACAGATTTTGGGGGTCAAAGTTCCAAAAATGTGTGCGTGCTTTTTTTTTTACATTTTTCCGTCATATTTTATAAAATAATTTATAGTAAATTATGATATGATGAAAATAATATCTTTATAAAGACCATTTAATGACAAGAAAAACGGTACATAATATGTGTGGGAAAAGTAAATGAGTAAGCGGAAAATCACAGCTAAGCACAAACTCCGCAGAAATGTAAAGACAGCCTTGGTCCTTAACGGTAAGAAAATTGAAAAACAGTCTGGTCACTAAGGGGTTAATGCTGTATTTGTCAATTCGCCATACCTCTTAATCTGTTCAACGCAGAACGTGTGTGGAACATATCTGAAAATTGCAGGGAAAAATTACATATCATTTGGATGGTCAGGTTACTGAGGATCTGTCTGAAGTGTTAGAAACAGGCTAGTTCATCAATAGTATAACAGACAGAATCAGCAATGTAAAACATGGATTTTGTGCAACTAAAACCCATAATTTTGCATTTGCTGTAATTTCCATTTTCCACTTAATTAGCAGCGGTACAACAGGGATTGTTCTCTTATCTATTCCACCTGATAGGCACAAGTGACCCTATAAAATTCCTAAAATGTTAGTTTCACCTTAAATCATCCCCATGATGTATAGGAGCCTGCATCCTAAGAACCCCTCAGTAATAACAAGACATCAACTTATTTCCAAAATATATTTATTAGAAATGGGTAAGTGGACATGTACTGTGTCTTAAGAAACGATAAGATCCAGTTTGTAATGTTTGGAGAATGTGTAGAATAAAGTCCAGGTTGCTGCTTTACTAACTTAACCGAGGATGGACCTATAAGAAATGGCAATGGAATGTTTAATCCACTGTATAATAGTAGCTTTAAAGGCTGACTTGCCTTTACATTTTCCTTCATATAAAACAAAAAGATGGTTAGTATGACAAAAGAAAACTGTTCTTTTTAACATTTAAAAGATTAAACCTCTGCTTTTAAGGACTTTTTTAAGGCTAAATTTTGGCTAAAGCTTTGCAGGATTATTTATTGTTGCAAATTGGCTAAGGAATAAACTTTAGGTTTAAACAATGGAAGTCCTCTCAATACCATATTATCTGCACAGGAGACTAAATAATGTGAATTGACTTCCAAATCATCTTCACCTAGGTCCTAGATGTTTTGCAGTAATGTCAATTAAAAAGACTATTTTGTGTTAGTTGCTAGAGACATGTTTGTAAAGGCTCAAATATATAGATGTGAGATGACTAAATTAGATTCAGATAACTGGAAGTATTAATTCCTGTAATAGTGGGTCTGATGTTACTTATACCTCTCACAAATATAATTATTATAGAATGCAATGCTATATTCTTTACTGGCAAAAATCTTAAAATATAGGCATCCAAAGGATTTATTTTCACACCAGTATTTTTTTTTTTATTTTTTTTTGGTACATGCGGTCAGTACATATCGTTTTTTTTTTTTCCTTGAATCAGAATGTCTTTAATGGCATGACCTATTCCCTTAGCTGTCAAAATCCTCTGTCTAGAAGCCGAACAGGTTGCAGTTCTGCAGGTACTTGATATCCAATAGACAATGCTTAGGATTTGACCTTGTGGGAGTCTCTAAAACTTCCCTCTTTCTTTTTTTTTTTTTTTGATGGAGTAAGTCCAAGAATCACTTGTTATAAAATGCAAAAAAATAAGCACCCCAGCCTGATATGGAAGAGTCTCTAGTGATTATTTTGTTCCTTCTCTGAAAGAGAGACTTGCTGACGGCTGGATTTATGTTGAACTCCGAATCTACAGGAGGACACATTTGCCCTTTTCCCAATTTCTACTGGTATGGATAAGATTGGCAAACACAAAATTCTCGTAGCTCTTACTACACAAAATTTAATTTGCAGAACTGGAGAATTACTTTCTTTTTAATTTGTTTTTTTTTTTTTTTTCTTCTTCCAAATGAATAATTTTATCGATCTTCCTCTTAAAACCCCAGTCAGAGTGATAAGGACTTTTGTAAAGATTCTTGGTGAAAAAGGCCAAAAGGTAGTGGCTTTAACTGAAAATGGAAAATGTTTCTTCCTACTCTTAAATCTCAAGATTTTTTCTTTTTGTTTGTTTGCAGGTCTCCCCTATTAAAATGTTTAAATGGGCATCTTTTAAGTCTAGAGAAGCCATAAATTCTGCTTCTTTTATAAGAGAAGTCTGACTGTATTGTTTCCATTCTGAATTATCCACTTATATGTTTACATTTTTCAAGTATAGAGTATGGTGGAGCACTCAGTCTCACTTTCGCCAGACATTCAATGGTGGCACTCCACCTACCCCCGGTAATGACATCCACTTAGAAATATTGGGGTGAGGGAGAACTTTGGCCTCGGTGTTAAGGGGCAACTCTTTCACCAAAATCTCGTGGCTTCGGCATCCGAAGATCTGGTAATAAGAGCTTTACTCCGAGCAGCTCCTGTGTGAAAAATTCTTCACAAATTGGGATCTTCCAAACTGGTAGTTTGTCCAGTTGTTAAAGTAGGACTTTTAAAATTTTATTTATTTTTACCCCAGCTGCGATGCAGGCACATCTAAATTAGACAAAGGGTGTTTATCCTTTTTACCATTCTTTAGTGCAAATAATGTTTTGTAATGTAAGCTCTCTCTTTGGGGTTTGGCACTAAATAAAAATGGACCAAAACTACCTGTGATCTGTTCGCTGTTCTGAGAGGCAGAAATCTGAGCGTTTCTTGGGATGGAGGCTCTTTTACCTTGTGTGGAAGGGCTAATGGTGGTACTATCATTTTAAGGATTTTATAGCATCAATTCTGCCTGTGGGAAAGCCTGTTCTGTCACAATCCATATGAAAAATAAAGGGTTATTCAATAAATGTAACTGAATTTTTAAATGAATTACAATTGGCTAATTTGGAAATCTAACAGACTTCAATAATTTTTTCAATTAAGCTATTTGACCTAATCTAGAATTTATTTTAATATCAGTCAATTAACAGCTCAGTGAATAACACAAATAGTATTTAAGCATACTTTCACAAACCATTTAAAAAAAATAAAAATAAATAGCAAGCAAGTGCCAAACATGTTCTTGTCTAATTTTATACAATATTAATATTTCTGGATCAAAAACTAAAACGCTGCTGACAAATGCTTGTTTGGCTAATTCATCTGTAATATCAAAGCAAAATGAGCAGCATCTTTCTAATCCTTATCCCTTTTTTTGTAGGAGATGCAGAAGCTTCCAGAAGCTGTCCAACTAATTGAAAAGGCCAGCATGATGTATCTGGAGAATGGAACTCCTGACACCGCTGCTATGGCCCTGGAACGAGCTGGGAAGTAAGTAACCTTAATTTTCCAATAGATGTCCAGTCAGATGTTCATGCCCTTTGTTCTGTCCAAAAACTGAGATATTGTGTCTTCTGGCTGATTACAGACTTATAGAGAATGTGAATCTGGAAAAAGCTGTTTATCTCTATCAACAATCTGCATCCGTTTTTGAGGTCTGTTTAATACCAGCTCTACTGCTGTTAAAATATTAGTCTTCTATTTGAACCTATGTGACAATTGTTCTTAACTTTTGACTTGTGCAAGCAGTCATCTAAGTATTTTCAATTTGTTGCACAGCACACAACTCTCAGCCTTTCACTTCTAAGCTTAAATGTCTTTGGTTGGGTAATTCGTATCTTATGTATTATCAAGTGGCTGCAGTGATGGCAAGCTTTGGTTGTTGAGAAGAGCTCTATACCATACCTTACAGCCTTAATTAGATAGTACTGACCATTTAATTGCAATCTATCACGCTTATAATATAATTCCCCTGTATGCTGTTCACCCATTAACACCTTTTGGGAAGTTGGTGAAGAAGATGAAAGTCTATGTAAATAAAATGGGCATAATAACAAACAGTGGTAAAGTATGGTAATTATTTAAAGAGATGAGGGGGAGGTTTACAACACGCCCTGTTCATTCTCAGTGATTCTTTTCCGTCAGAGAATGTTCTATTTTAAAGGTTTAAAATACGATAGATTTCTTTATACTCTTCAAACTTTTCTAACTTTTTTTCCTTATCCTTCCATTTCAGAATGAAGAACGTCTACGACAAGCTGTAGAACTTCTTGGAAAGGCATCAAGACTTCTAGTGAGAGCTCGCCGGTACTCTTCTGCCTCTATTGCGGTGTTTTTTTGTTTTTTTTAAAGCCGATAAATGATTGTTGGTGATGAAAACATTTATGAAAAATGATGGACCAAGTCCTCACTTGTTATGGCAGGTTCCATGGTTAAAAGAAGGTTTGGGAGCCTCAGGTTCCTTCCATATAACTATTTACTGTAACATGTTGTCTGCTTGCTACTTTTTGTACAAAGCCTACAATCTCTTCCTATCTTGTATACTTTGGTCTAATTCCCAAATTATCCAGAATTTCATTCCGGAGCTAGGCATATAATGTGACAATTTGACTCGAGTCACTACTGGAATTTTCAACTAAGAGTTATACATTAATAATGCAGCTTAAGCGTTGTTCTGTGCTAAAACTGACCCTGCATTCATTGTATATGCATTTATTTTATAGTCACTTATGTGCAGTGGAATAGTCTTGTGTTAATGTAAACCTAAATATGTTTCCCCACCTCTCTTTCTCTAGACTAGCATTTTCTCAGCTGCTAGTCTGTCACTTCCTCTCCAGGTGTCAGTTTCCTTTTGAAAATGGCCCGAGAGCCAGTAAGAATTAATAAGAACAAGAATGAAGCAATTACTCTCTAAGAGAATCGTTACTTCAGCCCTATCCGTCAGTATACATCTAGAGCAGCAAGACATATAACCCTGTACTCACAGAGTAAACTATATCCATGACCGAGATCAAGTGCCCCATTCTGCTTCTTTATAACTGCAACTTTTGTATCATAATTTCCATCTCTTGCCAGAGGGGTGTCCAGTGACTACCTTAGTACAGTTGCATTATAAATCACCACTGCCATGTTATAAAGGATTAACGCACAATAGATGTGGCAGGACAAAAATGCTTAGACTGACCTTATATTTTAGCATATTCCTATATTGCCAAACTATGTTTTAGAGTGTTTTGTTTCCATATCCATTTCCTATTTCTTTCTCTTCAATTTTAGGCTAGACGAGGCCGTAGTTTCCATTCAAAAGGAGAAGAATATGTACAAAGAAATAGAAAATTATCCAACTTCATTTAAGGTATAACCATAAAGGAAAAGTACACATTATGTCCATGACCACCAAAATAAATACATGTATAGTCTGTTGTTTTTATCATTCTAGTTTTTTTTTGTGAGCACCGCTTTTTGAAGTAAATACAAGAGAAATTTGTTAATGTTGAAAAGCTGCTTTATTTATTTTTTATTTATATTTTTTGTAATTTTTGAACTTCTATACAGTTTTTAGCTTTTTTTTTTTTTTTTTTTAAGTCTGTGGTATGCTTTACATTTTATTTCTGAAATCATGGTTTAACCCCCCCCTCTCTCCCCTCCAAAAAAATCAATATACTGGTCTAGGCTTGATTTAAAAACTGTATAGAGCTATTGCAACTTGTGGTGTGTTAGTATAGATACCTATATCCACCCTTAACGTCTGACCAGTCTGTAAACTTTATTGTTGGAATTTATGACTCCTGGATCATTTTGGTATAAGTTGATGTGCATAGTTCTATGTCTTTCATTGTATTAGTACAATGAATTTGTGAAATATGCAGCTAGATAATGCACAGTTGCCTTGTCTTTTATATGCTCACTAAATCATTCTGCAGCTGTTCATTGAATTCTTTTACTACTTTTGACTCCAGAAAACTATAGCACAAGTGTTGGTACATCTTCATAGGAATGATTTTGTGGCAGCTGAGAAGTCAGTCCGAGAAAGCTACAGGTATGTTTTTTTTAACAGCCTACTGTATTATTAGTTGCATATTATTATTACATTTATTATTCAACTAATAAGAAGTGGAATACTTAAAATACAAGTACATGTATCAATATAGATCTTGAAGACTTTTATATTCTATTTATTTTTTTGCACAATTAAAACAATGTTAGGTAGGCGTATGTACAGAAAGAATGGAATTGGGAACACACCCGGAACATGCAGTAGGTGTGTGTGTGTGTGTGTGTGTGTGTGTATATATATATATGTGTATGTGTGTGTATATATGTATGTGTGTGTGTGTGTGTGTGTGTATGTATATATATATATATATATATATATATATATATATATATATATATATATATATATATATATATATACATACACACACGCATAACACATACAGGATTGCTCACTAAAGAGAATTCAAGGTGAATTGAAAGTGAATCTTAAGTTTTAAGGCCAGAGTAGCTGAACTGAAAGCACATCTGACATAGAGAATGTTTCCAGTTTGGCTATTTTGACCTCAAAATTTTAAATTCTCTTTGAATTCATCTTGAATTCTCACTTTAGTGAATAACCCTGATAGTGGTGAACAGTTTATTATTGAAAAATAAGTCTACCGTTAGACCTGAAGGTTGAGAGGTTTATATTTCTTCGGAGACTCTAAGATGGCACTGTTTTCTCCAATGCGTGGTCTGCCAGTTTGTAGGTTTTATATTTTTAATTTTTATTCTGCAAAGCTAAGCTGCCCCTTTTTGCCTCTGCCAGCATCAACTTTTGTATCACATTTTCCTTCTCTTGTCAGAGGGGTGTCCAGTGATTACCTTAAAGGTGCCAGGAAAACATACGTGTTTCCGAGGGTGCCCCCACCCTCAGGGTCCCCCTTCTGCCGGACTCTAGGGGGTCAAAGGGGTTAAATTTACCTATTTTTCCAGCGCCGGGTGGGGGACTCTCCTCCTCCTTCTCTCCTCCTGAAAATCACATTGAGAAGCACGGAAGCGCCTCTAGCGGCTGTCAATGAGACTGCCGCTAGAGGCTGGATTAACCCTATTATTAACATAGCAGTTTCTCTGAAACTTCTATGTTTATAGAAGAAAGGGTTATTCCTAGCTGGACCTGGCACCTGCACCCAGACCACTTCATTAAGCTAAGCTGAAGTGGTCTGGGTGCCTATAGTGGTCCTTTAATGTAGTTGCGTTATAAATCACCACTGCCATGTTATAATAAAGGATTAACGCACAATAGATATGGCAGGAGAGAAATGCAAAGAAGAATAACACATAGAGCCTGAGCGGATTAACTGGTTTAAAGTTAAGCCTTTCATAATGTGCCTTAACAGTTGGGACAATCTCTCCTTATAGCACTCCCTCCTATATGGCACCTACCTTGCACTACTGGGTGACAGACAAGTGTTTAATACAGAGGGCAGGCATTGCACTCACCATATGCTCACCATAACTGCCTGCCAATCCCTGCATTCAACATTCATTAGATGTTTAAAAAAAATTAAAAAAGCATAATATAATGCAAAAAATAAATACAACCAGAAAAGATATACATTTCATGGTACTGTGCACAATGAATCTCCCTTTCAGTCCTCTCTCTGGTGCGCAGACGTCCTGTCTTTCAGCAGTTCAGTCACTGATCAAAATGGATACGCATGCACCAAGAGGCAGACACATTGTATGGATATGATGCAGAAATTTGCTAAATGTTTAGATTTTTTTTTTTTTTAAATAAAATTAAGCAATGGCAAAGGTGCAGCATATCTATAGGGCAAAATCCTCTCAAATGAGATTAAGTGGTGTTGGTGCCCTTTTACAGTGTACACCTGTTTTTACTGTGGCTTTTTTTTTTTTTTTTTTTTAAATTGTGCTTTTGCAATGTAAGCAGTAATCAAAATCTAAATGAATTACAAGTCCATTCGAGTCTGTCAAGAATAGTTCAGGTTTGCAGAGATTTTAACATTGAATTTCTGTTGAGTGGTTTTTGTATGAATCAATAATAATTCTGTTGGATGACCTTGTCTGAAATAAAACAATTTACTAACTCGGTGAAGTACACATTATAGGTCAGATACTTTCTAAAGTGAATTTCTGAAATGGTCAGCAACTTTTTTTTTTGTTTAGTTTTTTCCTTAAATTTTGTGCTTTGCAGTTCTGGTGGAATTCAGAAAGCCAAACTCACTTGATCTTAATGATGTGATTTGGGGGTGTAGATACTGCCAATACCATGCTTCATGAAGCACTGGATAGGTGGATTACAGCCAATATACAATTTGTATTTTTTATTTTTTTTGTTGTGTATTCCTCGAGTATAATTACTGAAGGATTCTAGAGCAGTAGTTGAATCAATAAGATTTATGTAATTTGGATTAAAATTGGAAATTTGTAGAATTTGACTGAAATCTGAATTTGTGCATTGCATGGGACTTCTGTGATTTGCCTTATATGTACAACGTTAAAGCTGATCAGTTTGTTGTCTCAGTGGTATTTAGATGTGGAATGAGGATTTAGCACACTAATTGAAACATTGCATTAACTGTAGGACAGGTTTAGGGTTTTCGATTCGCCTACCAGTGGATAAACCACTTGTAATATCAAAAAGTTACTTGAACTAAAGCCCCTCTAATATGACAGTTGTCCAGTTTTTACCCCTCCCACATCCAGTGTATGGTAAGTTGAAGAACCCTTCTCTGCCCCTCCCCCCCACTTTCCCTCCCACTGTAAGTAGCAGTGTGTGAAAGTTAAAGGGGCAATATAGGCACCCAGACCACTTCCTCATTGTAGTGGTCTCGGTGCACTGTCCCAGCAAACCTGCAATAATTAGCTTGGTGGGTTAACTCCACCTCTAGTGGCTGTCATATCAGACTGCCACTAGAGGGACGTCTGGCTCATGGTTGCCTAACGGAAGCTGGACGTCCTCACACTATGCATGGGGATGTCCAGCGTCACCCAAAACACCATAGGAAAGCATTGTATGATGCTTTCCTATGGAGAAATCATTATTTTATGTAGCGCTGTACAATGGGTGAACTAACAGACACGTAATTGTAACCAGACAAGTGGACGCACAGGAACAGAGGGGTTGAGAGACCTGATCAATGAGCTTACATGCTAGAGGGAGTGGGGTACAGTGACACAAAGTTATAAGTAGGGGTAATGAACTAGGTTGCTATAAAAGTATTCACTGAGAATTTAGTAGGTTATTTTTGACAGTTGCAGGAGAGGAGTCATGGGTGGGGGAATAAAAACCTGCTACCTGTTTAATTGATACGCTTTCCTTAAGAAATGAGTTGTCAAAGATATTTTGAAGGAGTGGAGACTGAGTGAAAGTCTAGTGGAAAAGGGAAGGGAGCTCCGCAGAAAAGTTGCAGCCCTTGAGAAGTCTAGAAGGTGAGCATCAGACGTGGGAGTACGCACAGAGGATAGACTTAGGTGTTTGGCAGAGGTCTTGACGGGACATACTTGTGTATTAGGGAGGATTGGTAGGTTGGAGCAGCATTATGTAGGGACTTGTAAGCAAGCACCAGATCTAACCCTATATCTAACTGCAAGCCAATGTAGGGACTGACCGAGGGGTGATGTGAGGGAATTGCGGGCGGCCAGGAAAATGATCGTGCTGCTGCATTCGTTATAGATTGCAGTTGTGCAAGCTGGGAACACGTAAGACCACTAAAAAGGGGATTGCAGTTGTCAAGGCGAGAGAGAACGGCATGGACCTACACCATAGTCGCGTCTGTTGTTAAATAGAGGCGGATGCAAGCTATGTTTTTGAGATGGGAGTGGCAGGATTTGGCATCAACTGGACATGAGGGGTGAAGGAGAGGTCGGAGTTAAAGAAAACACCTAGGCTGGGAGCCTGCTGGGCCATTGATTTGGAGGTAGACAGACATGGGGGTAGCAACACTTGAGAGAGGAAAGAGCAGAAGTTCTGTTTTGGACGGTTGAGTTTAAGGAAGCGAACATCCATCCAGATGGAAATCGCAGAGAGGCAATCAGAGACACAAATTGAGATGGGCAGAGAGAGATCAGGAGAGGGCAAGTAGATTTGCATGTCATCTGCATATAAATGGTAAACTCGTCAGCTCCTTTGCCTTCCATTATCAAGGGAGGCAGTCTAGATAGAGAACAGTAGGGCACCAAGGACAGAACCTTGGGGATCGCCAACAGAGAGGGGTTGGGGAGAAGAGCCAGAGAAAGAAACTCTGAAAAAGCGCTTGGAGAGGTAGGAGGATCACCAGGAGAGAGCAATATCCCATAGACCAAGATTACAGAGAATGAGAAGAAGCTGTTGATGATCAACCGTGTCAAATGCAGCAGAAAGATAAAGGAGAATTAGGATAGAGTAATGGCCTTGAATAATGCGCATTAGGTGTTCCCTGCCAGCTGATGATAGGGGAGGAGCAACGGCAGGAATTGCTTTGAATTGAATTCCTGACCTAGTCATTTCCAAATTTGAGCTAATTCTAACCATTTGTTTTCACTTTGGGGAATTAATTCAGATTTCCCTTTAGTCTATTAACAGATTATTTGAAAAATATTTTTCTCCTTTAGCCTAGTATTTAAAATGTCTCTCTATTGCCTCCCGAGAAGTAGCTTTGAATATTTTACACCAATTCACTCTTAACTAGTAAATTACTAAATGTTTCAAGTAACCAAATATAAGTGTATTCAGTTCTCTACATACATATAAATATTTATTATTTTAATTATTTTTCTCCTAGTATACCAGGATTCAGTGGCAGTGAAGACTGTACTGCGTTGGAGCAGCTTTTAGAAGGTTTTGATCAACAAGACCAGGACCAAGTGTCTGATGTTTGTAATTCGCCACTGTTTAAATATATGGACAATGATGTAAGAAAACAATCCTACAATTCTCACGATTAGTAAAGTAACTGGAAAATGTCTAAATTGTCGCTCTCTTGGTTTAAATTTTTTTTTTTTTTTTTTTTAGCACTGATTTGTTCCATACATAATAGGTTTTGTATATTGTTGAAGAATAGTTTTTCTTATTTTTACACTCACAGCTATATTGTTTCATTAAACATCTAGACCTAAACATTGTAGGTTGCATTATATCTGGTTGTCATCTGCTTCGAAAACCATCAGTGTTGCAGACTTTAAACAATTCTAATTATCTACCCATAGACTCTCCTTTTATTTATTATTTTCTTGTAAGATGTAGACTTGGCATTGTATTTTTGCCATGATGGTGTAATTTAGACTTTGCTGCATTTCCATGAGAAAACCTAGAAAATGGCCCAAGGTGTTTCAGAGAAATTTGTGTGTATGTTGCATATAGGTTCATCAATTCACAAACATGTTTAATGTGCTCAAAATAACAAGCCTGAAGATGAAAAAAATTTTTTTCTAAAATTAAGGAAGCTACTTGAGTGCTATGTATTTTTAATATGAGGTATACTAGATTGCTGCCAATTAATTTGCTTGGTGTTAGGGAGCTTTTTGGGAAATTAAGATTTCTTGGAGCACCATATGCAGATAAGGTCTTTAAGCTGAGGTTTGCCAAACCTATTAGTCATGCCCTGGAATAATGCCCCTTATATACTAAGGCAGTGTGATATGTTTAAATCTGTATTTAATCTCTTGGTATCCATTCTAGTAAAGTGAGTCTTACCAGCCAGAAAAGTTACACCATTCACCAGACCAGAGTAATCTGTCCACAAAAATTGCCAAGAGTAAAAATGTATTTCCCATTTTAATTCAGACCCTTCTGAACCTTGTAAGGGTCTAATAAAGGTCTTTTGAAGAATTTTGGTATATAGTAGTAAAATGAAGTTATGTTTGATCAAATTCATTTTAAAGTTAAATAATGGGTCACAAAGTAAGTGGTACACCGTTTGGGTCACTGTCAAATGTTATGGGAAAAGTTGCCTTTAAGATTTCAAACAGTCAAATCTTATTAACTGAAATAAGTTAAATCCGTTGGAATTAGAATTGTAACATTGTGTGCCTGCTTCAAGAAAGTACTTGTGATTTTTTTTTTTAGATCAAATGTATTTTTAAATTCAACAAAATTATCATCAGTTGCTTGAAATTTGCTATTTTATTTATTTTTCTTCTTACCAGTATGCCAAGCTTGCATTGAGTTTAGCAGTTCCAGGAGGAGAAACTAAAAAGAAATCTCCCGCAACATTGCAGGAAGGTGTTACTGGACCAGCACAGGGTGGCTCACATGTTGAAGAAGAGGATGATGAATATTCTGGAGGGCTATGCTAATCACCTTTTGTATTTTGCTCCCTATAATATATACATGTATGTTTCTGGCATTGCTTTCTCCAGAAATAGTGAAAAAGTCCTTCTTTGTTGATACCATCTGAGAATGCAATTTATTGCTTTGTTTTATACCATCGTTGTGAAAAATATACTATTTTCACTTGATCCACACTCTGTAAGAGGACCATCTAATGCCATTATATAAAACTCTGCTCACCATGTATGGATCACTATTATGTCCCAATGTGTAAAGCAAGTATAAGCAGAGAACAATATATGGTAACTATCGCATGTAACTTAATTTCTCAACTTCATTTTAATATCTCAGAAATTATTTGTATAGTTTTGTGTTCTTTTTTGTTTTGTAAATGACTGGAAGTAATTGTTAAATGGCTATTAAATATTTAAACCTCAAACGGAGTCATTCATGTATACCTGGAAAACTTTGTTAAATCTCGTTAGAAAATATTTATTTGAATGCAAAATACACTTGCTGTGTTTATATAACTATAAAACAAAAAGAGAAATAGAAAGTTAAAGGATCACTATAGGGTCAGGAACACAAACATGTATTCCTGACCCTATACTGTTAAAACCACCATCTAGCCACCCTGGGCCCCTCATGCCTCCATAAATATAGCAAAATCTTACTGTATTCAAGCCAGAAGCTGTAACTCTGCATGCTGTTAGATTCCGAAAAACAAGCCGTGTGCTGACATCATCAGAAGTGGTAGCCTGATCCAATTACAATGCTTCCCCATAGGATTGGCTGAGACTGACAAGTAGGCAGATCAGGGGCAGCATGATTCAAACACAGCCCTGGCCAATCCGCATCTCCTCATAGAGATTAATTGAATCAATAAATCTCTGAGGAAAGTTCAGTGTCTGCATGCAGAGGGAAGAGATACTGAATGTCTGGATGCATTTTAGGCAGCCATGACCCAGGAAAGATCTTTAACAGCTATCTGAGGAGTGGCCAGTGAACTTATCACTAGGCTGTAATGTAAACACTGCTTTTTCTCTGAAAAGATCATGTTTACAGCAAAAAGCCTGAAGGTAATGATTCTACTCACCAGAACAAATTCAATAAGCTGTAGTTGTTCTGGTGACTATAATGTCCCTTTAATATGAATCTAGACACTTGTGGGCAAATAGGATTATCCCATATAGTTTGTTTTTTGTTTTTTAACCTGCTTCCACTATGTCTAATTGACCCCCTAGTCACCCCCAAATGCCCCTAGGTCCCCCCATATTACCTATTTTTTAATCTTTATTTTCTGCCCCAATCTATATTCAGGGCACCGCCATCTTTGTGTGGGTAGAGGAAGTCATCTGCCCACACTAGATAGATTGTGAGATTCCCGCACATGCCCAGTGAAACACTTGGACATTCGAATGGGAATTTAATCCATTCATTCATCAGAAAGCCGAATTAATGAATAGAAATGTCAGACGAACAAACAAACACTGAGTATAATGCGAGTAGGGGCATGTCCACTAAACAGTGAGCAGCCTGTTTAGTGGACATGCCCCTACAGTCAGTCTGCTTATGCTGTTGTTGGACTGGTGAGGCATCGGGAGCCACGGTATGGAGGCCTTCTGTGGGTTCCATCTTGGGAAGTATGTCTCTGGAGCTTGGCTCTGATGTCTTCTTGTTCAGCCAGTGTGCTTGGCTTCTGTGAATGGGGTCCCATGGAGGGCATTTGTATAGAGGGCTCTGGCTGTGTTCAAGTGTAAAAATCAGGCTCTCTGTCAGCATAGGCACCGCCAAGGAGTGCCCCTAGGTCTGGCAGGGTCTGCGTGGTGTAGGCATGGAATGTTTTACATTGCGGGGTTAAAGGTACAGGAAATCTGCATTCAGATCAATGAGATGTAGTGGTCTGAGTGCTCAAAGTGTCCCTTTAATGAAAAGTGCAGGTGTGCTCCTTGTTATATATTTTCTGTTTGCTATTTTGGCCTAAAATACATAATTTCCAACAATTCATGGTTCATTTTCTCGAATTGTGTAATTGTGTACAACAATAACAAAAGATGGTGAATATATGATTTGCACTTGTGGTGGTGATATAAAATGAGTCTTCTTTACAGTGTCTCTGTCTGCACTAATAAGAAATCAGTTCTAGTGCAAAATTCAAACTGAAGGAGGCAGGTGAACTGCAGCAAGAAAACTAGTTTAAACTTTGTGGTTTTACCAAGTAGGTGTTTTGTTCTTCCATTTGTTTCATATTTAAATCCTGGGCAACCCACACAGCAGAATGATTAATCTAATCATTGTTTATTGCTGATGTAGGTTGTTTCAGTATAAGGTTTTGCATTACAATGGTAAAAAAGCTCAAAAATCTATACGAAATGTAACACTTAAGAGTTATTGTAATCCACCTGTGCTATGGTCTCTGAAAATGCACTCGTGCAATTTTTGTGTTTCCAATATTCCGCATTTAAACTGAAAAAATGTTACAGAAATGTCTCTAAAGTTTACAAAGTGATGTTTTTGTTTTTCTTTCTATTAGCAACACTATATCACAATACTGTCAAGGGTAGCCTTACATTTACTAAAGTCATTTCTTATAGAAAGAGCAACCTGGTAATATTTTTTTACCTGATCAGATTTTATCACACACATGGTTGAGAACATCTTGGTGCCAAGGCACAAGGACCCCTATTTGCTCATAAAGAGTATATTTTCAAACCGCAGAGCACGGAATTTTTAAAAAAAAAATTGTATCTTTTAATGGAAACTATTGCAGGTATTCTAATTTTATGGCAAGGCAGGGGGCTTGTGTGATACAAGGCTTTACCTTCTTTACTGAAACCTCCAGCAGCAAATAAATAGTTAACAGAACTTTTCAAAACAACCAATCAGAACAAAACAGCAGCAGTATAAAACCCTCAGGCAGACCTCCCACTTCCTCTTTCTTTGCTGCTGCCTCCAGGTGAGCACTCACCAACTCAGTTGTCTCTGCTCTGGGTTGTTTTTCCTCTACATGGTACTTATTTGCTGTGTTACTTTAGGCAGTTTATTTGCTGTGTTACTCCATGCTGTTTAATGTTGTGTCACTTTAGGCTGTTTATTGCTGTATTACTTTATGCTGTTTATTGCTGTATTACTTTGCTGAGCTGTCTGTGGAATGGGTGCCCTGCTCCCTGTTATGGGGTTTTGGGTTTTTCTATACCCTGTTCCACCATCCTGTTTTTTTCCCTTCTGGGCTCTGTCGCCCACACTCTTCCCCCTCACTCCCCAGCTGCTCTTTGCGGCCCCTGGCAGCTTACAGAGCTGTTTTTCACTTGCAGGGCGCGATAGGCCGCACTCGATTTTTAAATTTTTTTATTTTTTTTTTGCGTGCCGCGGCTGCCATTTTGTTGGAGCCACGGCTGCCATTTTTTCGGAGACGCTTGGGCTCTGTGCGTTCCGGGCAGTCCAATCTCACCGCGTTGCCCTGCTATTTGCTGGCCATGTGGCCAGCCTTCCCTCTCCCTGTGTCTCCCCTATTTAGTTTTTGCTGTCCCTTCTTGCAGGGGACTTCATGTTCCACTATATATACACTTAAACAGTGTATCTTAATAAGGCTGATTTTAAGCTGTTGCTGTGTAAGGCAGTTCAGGACACCTGGGTGGTTTGTAGATGTGGTTTAGTCAGGTTTAAATCTGTAATAAAGATGATGCAATATACAAGTGGGTCCTGTATGGACAGGATCTGTCCCAGACTTACACCCATCTGTCCTTTTACCCCCTTCTACTCTTCAGGGGCCTAACTGGCTCCCCATACAGCCCCCTATCATTACAGGGGGTGTCCTGTTATGTCCATAACGAGGGTGACCCACTCCCGCTTACTGCACTACTGTACTTACAGAGTCCTATGATACTCATGAGGGTGACCCCCTCTTCCTACTGCACTGGTGGACCTGCACTGTTTGCTTATGGTTATATGAGGGTGACCCCCTCCTGCCATCTGCACTGCTGGATCTGCAGTGTCTTGTTATTCATAATACGGCTGACCGCTACTGCCTTAGTCACTGCTGTAACTACAGTGTCCTGCTATGTTCATGCTGAGAGTTACCCCCTCCCCTGCTGGCTTATACTGAATGGTGTGCTTGTTTGGTAAACCCTCTTGCACGCTGGGGGACCCCCAGCTGGCCGCACCAGGTACCACACCGACAGTGTTACCTCTATGGCAGGTATTACTCAGAGATTCCCTCTACTCCCTCTGCATATGGCCCCCACATGCACAAGACCTTGGAAGGGACATGGCACTCCCACAGACGAAGAGGGAGCTGACTAACAAATTAAACTAGATGATTAGTTTTCACGACCAAGTCCGGAAAGGACCCGCAAAGACCTGAAACAGGGTCTGCGCTCTACCCAGGACTAACCGCTGGATGCCGTTGACACAGATGTTCCTCAGGGTGAATGAAGCGCTACAACGTGGAACACCGGTGGAGGCCAACTTTCCATTGTGAATGGGCCCGAAGTTGCTTATAAGGAACCGCCTATTTGGCTCTACCCCCGAACGCCGCAAAGCGGCCCCTCTCCAAGCCGGACAGCACATTGACGGATTTGGCACCCGAGGTGCTGGGTCTGCTTTCCAGAGTTGCCTTCACATACGAATTGAGCCGACACGTTTCTATTCATACATTTCTTAACTAGTCACAGATGTCTCTCAGACCGTGTCCGAATTCAGGATCAAGTTTGTTGAACCTCGGATACAGATCACCGCTCCATGACCGATACGCATGGCCAAAGAGGCGTACGTTCCGGTTCACTCTGAAGTTCTCACTCTGCATGCCCTCAATGCATATGTTGTCTGTTGACACTTCAAGACGGAGGGCACCCATCTCCTCGGAGATCTGTTCTGCAAGGGTGATTGATTCTCTCAACTGGATCTGAGGGAAGTCTGCATGGATTTCACCATCAACGTGGACATATTGGATCTGACTCATTCTCAGTTGGTCCAGCTTCTGGATTTCGTGGAATATTCAGTCCAGGCGGTACTCCACCTTCCGAGGTCCAAGATATCTGTCTTCAAGAAGGGTATCAGATGCGTGCTCCGCAACCCGTGGGTCACACTTAGGGACCTAACCCGGTCGATAGGCCATTTGTCATCCTCCATGGAAGCCAGGACCTTGCAATATCAGACACTCCAACGCCTGACGGCTTGCTATCTCAGGTATCTCGACATATGGGGACCTGGACTGGCAATAGGATTTCGGACCCCAACCAGACTTCGTCCTGGCTCCGACGCCGGCTGTATGGACTGGGGCGTTACTTGCGAAGGCGTGACGACAAGAGAACTCTGGACTCCGGAGGAGAGAGCTCTTCACGCCAACTGTATGGAACTACCTGCAGGTTCATTCACCATTCGCAGCTTCCCCAGGGGAAGAATTACTGCTCGCTGCCTCCCGGCATGGACTACTTCCCGGTTGTCCACTCCGGACTGCAGTCGGATGTCACGAAGGATCTCTATCAATACTGTCTGGACAA